TAATTAGGCACACATGTTAACAGACCGCTGACCTTAATTTGGCCCAGTGGTGTAAAGTAACTAAGTACATACTTTTGCTTCATTACAAGATCACAGTACTTCTCCCACCTCTTCCGTTGAGCGTTACTGTGCCAACCGAACGCTGTAGCTAAAGTTAGCTCTGCCATAAAGTGCAACTTTTCTTACCGTTTGCGTCGTTTTCGTGTCTTTGGCAGTGAATTTCCAGTCAGCACGACAAATGAACCCACCTGAAAGTTGAAAATAAACATGTTGTAACTGCTCTGTAAATCCGACACACTCGAGTACATGCTTTGATGATATTTAAACAGTTACAGTTATAAACGTGTTTACTGTCCACCCTTTTCAACCGCCATTTGCTATGGCTCAAATATTACGTCACAACGGAAGTGCTTCTTCTTCGGGCTTGGCGGACTTCTTATCAATCTGACACATCCTCGGGAAATGTAATGCCACCCATGACTGCCACCCATCGACGAAACAATGTTCATAGTTTATCAGCAAACCAGTTTATTTAGTACATTTATTTCGTCTTTTATCCTTTTTATGTTCAAATGACCGTATCGTAATCTACTTGCTCTAAACTATGGTCTTTAAGTCAACGTGTTTTACTATGGAGCCGGGTAAGTACTGTGTCACAAGATAGCATACAAAGCTCAATTTACTCTCACTTCTCACAAACGCACTCTTCTGTATGTATTAATTTAGAGTGCAGTGGACAACAGATAGTCCAGGAAATTATTTTCCGCAGAATAACTTTCACTGGTTTACACGTTTACACACCATTAGGTGAATGCTAATTAGCTTGATTTTAGTACCTACTTATCATGGAAAAACGATATTGACTTGAAAATCTTTTAGATTTTAGAGTCTCTTGTAATGAGTTTGCTAAGATTCTCAGTTAATAGGCAAGAATAATTGTACATTATAAAAGGTGCTAAATTAAAGGGAAGTCAATGGCAAATAAACCTGGATTACCAGCTAGGTTTATGTGATGAGCCCCCCCAAAACAATCCTTGGGGTCAAATAATTAGTGTCAATTTCTTTGAAAGATACGCAAAACTAAAGCTCCAAATCAGCTGATGTCATATTAGGTAAGAGGTTGGTTTGTATTGGTGTTTATATTGTTAATTAGGTATTTTTAAATTGATGATGTTTGTTGCAATCGGAATAGTTCAATGCCTTTTCAGCAATGTTTTTTGTCTTTGCTAGGTGCACTGTGCGGGTGTGCCGATGCAATTTTCCCACTAGATGTTGCTGCAGCACACTGATTCTGTTCAGCTCAGAGTGAAATCGTGTCTTTTCATGGCTTGATAAGGTAGTTGCTCATTTCTGACAGGATGTGGTCAACATAAAGTAAAAGCGAAACATGTTCAGCTAGTACCTTGCAGTCCTTGCTGTTAGTTGATTACTGTTGATGACTGTTTATCACTGTCCATATATAAGAGAGCTGACACTTTAGATTGCCTCTCACTTGTGTAAGGGCAAATCAGGACTACAACCATATGGTTATTGTTGCACACATTATCTCTGTCAGTGGCCTTTGTTCCACTTATCCTTCCTCTTCCTCCTTTGTTACTCAAAACACACAAAACAATTCTTCTAGTCACAATTGATCTGCTTCCTACTCTCTTGTGCCTACACTTATTTTAGGCTCCAGAGAAGGGGCTATGTGTAAGGATGTTGCTTCACTATTGTCTTCTAAAAATGAGACACTGTTTCTATTTATGGCAAGTGTGTTTAATCTATGCTACTGAAGAGTAAATATATCATGTTCTTATGTGCAAATAGTATGTCTGCATTCTTTCAGACACTTGAGCTGTTAAGGGACAGGGCAGCTTTGTCAGGAAAATATTGTTACTAAATGTTAAGCCTGACATGGAGACTAAACAGAAATGTGTCATTAGTCACATTTGGACAGGCGCGGGCAGATTTTGAGTTGTTGTGGCAACAGAGAAGAGGCCAGACTTGTTTTTCCTTCTGCTTTTAGTCACTTTCTGTTTTTTGTTAAAATGGGCTTTTGGGTTCATCCCTCAGTGTTTGAAATCTGAGCTCTTTCGCGTTGTGTTTGGATTTTGGTGGAGCTTCACTCCTAGTCAAGACGTCTGGTGGCTGTGGTGGTCTTTTATCTGGAAACATACACACAGCTGCCTCACGCTACTTACTGATGTGTATTGATGCCATTTTTAGACTACAAAAAACAGACATAAAGCTGTCATCTGTGGGAACAATTGGTTTGTTCTGAGAGGATTGAAAAAGACAGAGGTGCTCACTTCAGGTTTTAAGTGTGTTCCTAAAAATAGTGGCAATTAAAAGTTATGAGTTTATGTTAGATGGAGGGTCATTTGAACCCTTAATGCAACAAGCAACCATTAAGAATAAGACAAGAACCTAAGTAAACAGAGTGTAATATCTTTCCCATTTCTATTTTGAAAAATAACATTCATAGAGCAGAAAATACACCATAATCGCACCTCAAGGTTATTCATTTGCTGTATCTTTGTTTATTACTCAAATAAAACCTGAGTGTTGATCAAGGATTATAAACAAGGATGGCTCCTCATATGTGTTAAGACAGTATTCTTTGTTTTAATAGGCCTTATCGACTGAGGGTCTCCAATGTTGTTCAGTGAACTAAAAAATAGGACTGCTGCTTTTGTTAGCCAACATTTAACAGACAGGAAAGATAAACTATCTCCAGAATAAAGGCAGGCACACATTGATCATTGGACTCCAGTGATAATCTCTTTGTACTACTACCCCATCACTACCACTTTCACATGATCAATGAAGCAGGGATCGATTATGCACCCCAGCCTCAAGCCCCGCCAGAAGCCAGATAGTAAATATGTTGGCAAATGACAAACTCCACCCTTTTGGTCCAATGTGGAAACTCTGAGTCTGACTGAGGCACGTGTGTGTGTGTGTGTCTCTGCTCCTCCATTGGAATTTGGGAGGAGTTTTAGCTGTTGTATTGCCAAACCAAACCTAAGAGAAGTTTCTGGAGAAGGAGTACAGTATTATAAAACAATAAACAGAGGATGCATTAGCTTGTTATATGTAAAGGCTAACAAAACAGTGAGTATACTGTATCATACAGGTGGTCTTGAAAAAGCACACAAGCTGTGGGCATGTTGAAGTTATGTTGTGTGTTTCATTTTGCTTTGGAAATTAACATATCAAAATTAGACAGCACAATACAATTAAATAAAATCATGCCACTACAAATACAAATAATTAACTACCCTTAAATCATAACATAATATAAAGTGTGAAATACACAAATAGGACAGATAATACATATAGTATTACAACTTAAGTGACAAAAATATGTTGTTTTTTTAAAGACAGGTTAGAAGTAAAACATGTTACTGATTCTCGAACAAGAAGTTCTTGTACTAGCATTCCTAACTACAAAAACAAAACAGGCACCATTAGTTTTGAGTTAGGGCTCAGTCAGATCTGAAACCGCACTTTGGCTCCTAGGGTAGCAGCAATTCAGTAATAGGAGCCAGCTATAATTTGTTTTATAACTATAGGGGAGAGATTGTGCTGTGGCTAAACCTTGAAAACAGTGACTTCAATAATCATGACATTAGATATAAATATATGAATACACTTAAAAAGCTTTTCATAATATATGGAAGGAAGCATGATTTAGAAAACAGTTATGACAAGAAACGTCACTAATAAACATAAAAAACAATTAGTTAATATGTATTACATTACATTGCATTTAGCTTACGCTTTTATCCAAAGCAACTTACAATAAGTTCATTCGACCAAGAAGATACAAACTTGAAGAAAACAGAATCATATAAGTACATCAGGTTTCATAGAGCCAAAACATTTCAAGTGCTACTCAACTGGCTTTAGATAAGCCAGTCCTTTGTTAGTATACAAGTGCTTTGTTAATTCTATCGCTCGAAGTGGAGTCGAAATTTATTTTTAATTTAACTGGTTTTGAGACGTCCAGGTCTTGGGTTTCTGATAGAAAAGAGATTAGGTGACATAGGTGGCCTTCAAAAGTTTGGGCAAAATAACTGAGTTTCATTATTGTAACAATATAAACAAATGTTGTGTCCCAGTGAGAGCTAGTCTATAGAGAACAACAGGGGGACAAAGATGGAGCTCTGGGGAACACCACTGGTCAGTGGTGCCATAAAGAGCACAACTCCTGAAAAAGTAGTTTGACAAAAACATTTAATATTATCACATCACCATCATCAGCTGGTATTAATAGATCACTAGAAGCTGTGTTTCGGATTGAGACTATTTCCACAAGCTGTAAATCTTTGTGTGTGTCAAGGGCCTTTTAATCTACATGGAGAGTCCGTTGTTGATAATAAGGAGTGGCTCTTGGGTTTTTGCAGTTAAGAGAACAGTCCTCTTGTGTTATTCTTCTTTTTCTTAAAAGCATTCAACAAGGTTCAAGGTTCTTTATTTTGTCATACGAACATAGCTACAGGGTAGTTATGCCGATGAAAATCTTAGGTCACAGGCTTCTCCAACAGTGCAACACAATAACACAGATAAACAGAAAAATATAGTGCAATGTGTGCTTGTGTCAAAAACAACAAAGGGTTTTTACGATCCCTTAATCATGAGTGCATTGAAGGCCCTGGGTCCCTGTCTGTTCTCTGGTCTGAACCGCAGACAAATTGAATCAGGTAGATCTCCTGGGGCTATAACAAAACTGGTTTCCCCGGTCATGCATGCCTGCCTAGCACTGGATGGGAGAAAACAGTTAACTGTTTAGCAGCCTGGGGGAGCAGGGAAGGCTTAAAGAACTAGCCCCACATTCCTACCCTCTCTATGGGCTATAAAACGTGGAGCCCCAACAGTCCAGCTCCTCCTCCACCTTCTGTGTTTGTTTTTTGACTCCCTCCTTTTGCTTCAGAGTGGTAGAGCGGACTGACAGGATCGTACCATTCTCCAACCACAGGGGAACTCGTGTGGTTGAGTAACCGAAGCTGCATTCATTTTCAGAGCTTCAAGCTTCCTGTCTCCCCCGCTGTGTTTTTTATCGGTGGACCAGCCCGAGATGGAGGTTGGGAGGGGGTGCTTAGCAGAGGAGAGAGGGAGAACAGCATTTTGAAACCCAGCTGATCAGAGCTGTGGTATTCTGCCACCGAGGCAGAGGCAGGGGGAGCGTGACTGGAAAAAGAAAAGAGAAGGCACCTGAAGAATTTATGATTTTAAGACGGAGGTTTTACAAATTGAAGAGGGGGAATATAAATGATTTTTTATTTCATTGGCATCTGCGAACTCATGTGAAGAAAGAACCTCTGTGGGAAGATGTGAGAGCCTTTGGCAGGGTGGAAATCTAAGGAGAAACGCACAGAAAAGGGTTTACGTCAGGCCCTGGAAAACAGTTCAGGGAGTCCTTTGATTCGAGAGAGGGTTGAATAGCCCCCGTGGAAAGAGGAGTGATGTCTTGGCTGTCACCCGTGTCATGGGCCAAATGGACGTGGACGGCAGTGCGAGGGGGAGAGGGAGAGGAGGATGAAGAGGGGCATGAAGCCAGTGAAGAGAGGCAGCAACTTGAAGAGGAGGAGGAGGAGGAGGAGGAGGAGAGATCTCAAAGCTACAGGCAAGTGTTGTGCTTCATACTGTCTGAACTGGAGGAGGGGGCATTGTCACATGTATGTCCATGTGTGTGTGTCCACCTGTTAGGTTGAGGAATCTCTGAAATGATGAAGGTTTGGAAAAAGCTGGGGGGGGAAACCGTTGGCTTATTTGCATCAGCCTTTTTTGTTGTTGTTTAAATGTCAGATGTTATGTTGTCATGCAGCGCTGACACATTTCTGGTGTGGCTTTGGTTCATGCCATCACTGTGTTTGAACTGAACGTTTTTCTCGCTGGCACTACATCCTCGTTTCTGTGGCTGCACAGAAATATAACACACACTCCTTCAATGCAGCCAGGTACAGGTTTGCTTGAATGATGTAATCATTGCTCAGGAACATGACACATGGTAAAAGCATCACCCGACCCTATCCTGTCTCTTATCCTCGGGCCTGCTTTGATAACGTTATCTCTGCCTTTGTTCAAAGTAAATGTTTACCCCACTACTTTTTCTCCCACACTTAGATATTTGATTGACCGGATAATCCATCACCACTCTAGCCTCAAATGCCCAAATGTTTGTTTACTATCAGCAGTTATCTAACCAATAATGAACTCACTGTGATATGGCTTCCTGAAGTGATCCAATCAAAATTGAATGTTGTTGCTTCACAATGTTAACATCACGAGTAAAGTGTGTTGACAGCTGGATTCAGTTGCAATGTTCACATCTTATTTTAAAATGCATACATAAAGAGCATTTGCATGGTGCCGTCTCAAACGTTAGTGCTATAGATTTGACAGGAAATAGTGGTCTGTCCTATTTCCTCTTTATCTTAATCTTCGTCTACATTACTAGCATGAATCAAATAGTGCCGGGTATTGCCGAAGCCCAATACAGCATGAAAGGAGAGAGTTAGGTGTAATATAGACAGATCTGGGACAGTAGAGACTTGTTAGGGTGCATCAAGGTTCAGTACCATCTTTGCTTCTCTGAATTGATAGTTCCCCCTGTAAAAAGTATGAAAATAGAACAACCCTAGAAGGGAACATCTTGTACAATGTAAATGATTTGCATTTGTCCTTACACTTGCACATATTGCACATTTCAATCCAGTGCTAATTAAGTAGAGTCTTTAGAGTAGATAGTGTTTATATTGAGATCACTACTCCTCAGTTATATAATGAATATTTTCTTTCCTACTGCTTTTTCATGTTTTGAATGTTTGTAAAGTTCACGCTCTCTCTCTCTCTCTCTGGGTTCCACAGCTCTGACTCAGAGAGTCATTTTGAAACTCCTGAAGCATCGACTCCTGTCCACTCTCCTTCAACCTTCCCCGAAGAGCTGGAGAACAACAACACTGATGCAGACAAAACAGGTGGGGCAACTGCTGAGCAAAAAACACTGAGAAATAGAGAGAAAGATAAGAAGGAGCAAAGTCATCTAACTGTTGAAGACATGAACACGTTGCAGAAACCCCCCCGGTAGCAGGCTGTTCTCATTAACATTAAACTTGTATTAAACCGTTTGAAAGAAATGTACTTTTGATATACATATTATAAACCCAGTTTCCCTCGTTGAAGTTGCCATGGTAACAGGAGTCTATGTTGAAGTCAGGAGTCCTTTTATGTTGCCCTGAATGTTCAGACATCATTACATTTCATTTGGCTGACACTTTGATAGTCAACAAAAGGAAAACTCCGTCATCTTTATATGATAAAATAAGCATTTAAATAGCACATGCTGGATTAGGTTAACTCCGCTTCTGTGCCTGAACTGTGTGCGAGGCGTATCAGGTTCACCACACCAGAGTAATTGGATACATATGCAGTCTGACTTTGTCCAGAATGTACCTGCCTTCTGCATTTTACCTTTGATTGTACTTTTATCGGCCTGTAAGTAAAGATACCATGACAAGTTATGGCAATATTAGATTTTCAGTCACAGTTTTTATGATGGCCTTCTCTTTATGCATTAAAAACATACAACATCAGCTTAAAGTACTGTATATTAACACTTTCAATCATCTTAACACACTGTAGCCCATCATAAATCGTTATATAATAATGTATAAGGTTAGATATTACATACTTATTGACAATTATTTTGCATGGACCATAGTGCATTATAATTCTTATACTTGTAGTACATCATAATCTTTCTATAATGCCTTAATGCATTGATATTATATACTATATGCAATTTATTTAATGCATCATAAGTTTGTTTGATTATAGACATTGATTATAATGCATAATATTGTTACACCATTTTCTTGTGGATCATATCAATGTGATGAATTGCAATGTTTTTATTAGCGGTAACTAAGGTGAGTAACACCTAAGCAGTGAAACATGTTTGGTATGTCAGAAGGTATGCACTCAGAGGTTTGGGTGTGATGATGGTGAAAGCGCTGTCCATTGAATCACTAAGAGGAGGAGCCTGGAGCAGAGAGTGCACGGCCTCCGCTCTGGAACAGGTTCAACAAAAGCTTTGGTTCACCTCGTGTTGTATTGGTAACTGATAGAGGAGGGACTGAACTAAGATTGTTATCAGGCTGTTACTATCATGCAGCCCGCTTTTTAAGGAGGTTTTGAGGAGACCATAGCCGTTTCTCAATGTCGAGTATACCTCCTGCAGAGCCACTATTTCAAGTATACTACGTCATCGAGTGGCGCTGAATGCTGGGCATTTAACATGCATTTAAACAGTCCTTCGGCGCCACTCGATGACGTAGTATACTTGAAATAGTGGCTCTGCGGCAGGTATACTCCTCATTGAGAAACGGCCCATGTGTTGACGTGAGGCAGCATTGGTAGGAGTAAATCCTTCGTGTAAAACGGCTACAAAAACATTTCAAACGTGCACATTGTTCAGGTCAACCGTTGGGTAGCAAAGAGTGAGTTCACTTTTGTTTTAACCCACAAACATCCCTTCCTGCAGCTGTGAATGAGGAAGTTTGGCAGGCGGGAGTTGAAGTGCCCCTAGAAACTCCTTAAATGTAAACATGCTAATGGCTATGTCTGTGTAAGCCCTTCCACAGTCTCCATCGCTGCTTCAGCATGAGTATATTGCATGGGGACTGTTGTTAAATACTTTTATACTTTTGTCAGGGCCAAAAAGGCACCTAGTGGTAATAAACAAATGGATAATTAAGGGTTGTTTAGTATGTCTCCTAAATAGAAAGAGGCATCTGTGGTGAAATTAATGATAAAATTACATTTGGCAATCCATTTTAATTCTATATATTTTTTTATATTTACTATTTGAGTACTATTTAGAATTGTTGTGATTTAAAAAACATAACAGAAAGTGCTTTAATTAATAATAATTATAAGTGTTTGACTGATGTAAATAACTATTAATCAAAGGTGCAAAGTATTTTTTATTGAACAAATTAAGTATATCATGACAAAATGGTAAACGCCATTAAATTGACTCAAGCAAATTAGACCACATATTGCACTTTCCTGCAGCCAAGTGAGGTTTATCCCTGCTTCCACATGCTCCTCCCTTTATAAAAAAACAAGTGAGAGAACACCAAGGAGTCCTGTACTTTTCTAATGAATATTCATGTGGATTTGGATGATGAAATCTTTGTATGGGCATGTTGGACTGCAGGATTACTAAAGGGCACTCTGCTAATGTGAGAGTTAGGTAGGAACACAGCAGACTGTGCTAGTCTCCTAGCAACATAATATTACATGAATATGGCGAGTATGACAGGCGTAGTGAAATATGTTGATGTGTCAAAGGGTTCCCTGGAGGCTATAATAACTCCACCCCCCTGTTGTCAACACAACTAAAAATAAATCATAGGTCTTTATTTTTATTTCTCTTTTTTGTTAATGCAAAAAAGGTTTCTAGTAGGACATCGCCATGGCAACAGCAGCAAAAGGAACAGTTAGCTGGCTAGGAACCAATCTGATGTCACTAACATCTGAGTTTAGATTTGATTGGAGAGATAATTATAGGCAAGAAATATGAATGCAATTTTGATATTGTGCATTTGAATATATATATTTTTTAATTCTTTTTTTTCTCAAATGTTTTCTTTAGATGTGGATCAGGAGGAGCAGCTAATAGTGACTGCTCCTGTGTTGGATCAGGATTTTTGGCTCAGCCACAACATGGGTCAGGATGAGCCTGTGGCGCCCATGGGTGGCCTTCTGGAGGTAAACTTTGAGACTCTGCCCGCACGGCAACCAGAGAATCTCCCAGAGGCCTTGGGCTCTGCCCCTGCACCATCATTAGTGAATGAAAAGCCTGAAGTGCCTGAATGCACAGCTGTATCCTCTGAGCCATTCCAAGACCCGGCGCCTGTCCTAGTTGCAGCTCCAGATACAGTTCTAGATCCAGCTCTAGCTCTAGATCCAGCTTTAGATACAGCTTTAGATACAGCTCTAGATCCAGCTTTAGATACAGCTTTAGATACAGCTCTAGATCCAGCTCTAGATCCAGCTCTAGATACAGCTTTAGATACAGCTCTAGATCCAGCTCTAGATCCAGCTTTAGATACAGCTCTAGATACAGCTCTAGATACAGCTCTAGATCCAGCTNCAGCACCAGAACCCATTATCACAGAACCAGTTTCTAAACCAGCACCAGAACCCATTATCACAGAACCAGTTTCTAAACCAGCACCAGAACCAGTTTCTAAACAAGCACCAGAACCCATTATCACAGAACCAGTTTCTAAACCAGCACCAGAACCCATTATCACAGAACCAGTTTCTAAGCCAGAACCAGAACCAGTTTCTAAACAAGCACCAGAACCCATTATCACAGAACCAGTTTCTAAACAAGCACCAGAACCCATTATCACAGAACCAGTTTCTAAACCAGCACCAGAACCCATTATCACAGAACCAGTTTCTAAACAAGCACCAGAACCCATTGTCACAGAACCAGTTTCTCTACCAGTGTCAGAACCGGTTTCTGATCTTCTTCCAGAAACTGCTTTGCCAGTTTCAGACTCAACTGCAACTCTTAACGTAGACGATATTCCTATCCCTAAATCAGGAGCCTATAACTTCGATCCCAATCAGTGGGACGACCCCAACTTCAATCCGTTTGGTAGCAACAGCACAGCGAGCACCTCTCCAGTGCTCCCTAAGAGCTCCTACAGTTTTGATCCAGACAATTTTGACGACTCTGTGGACCCTTTTAAATCCTCCAAAAATACTACCAACGAGGACTCGTCCAGCAGTGCCCCTCAGCCGGAGAAGAAAGTGAAAGACGTGGGCAAACCTAAAGTAGTGAAACCGGCGGGAGAGAAGAAAGCCAGGCAGATTCCCAAGAAAGAAAAAGAGAGGGCAGTCGAGTAAGTCTAAAGGAGAACAAAACCTTTTCTATTTTACTCCAAGAGTTTGCCATTTTGAGACTGTAACATTATAAACAACAATAAAAGGTGATACTTTGTCATATGAGGTTTAGATCAACTCCACTAAGTTTTTTCTTAGGCTGGATGTGTTGGCAGCTAATTTTTGCTTTGAACTAACGCTAAGCACTTAACACTGCATACTGCCCATTGATGCAATTCCCAAACAGGATATATATAGGCCTTCAGAAGTGTTTATAGCTGCAATGCTAATTTAAACTTTTCCAGGTCTGTGGGCATCTTGGGTTTTGCTTAATCTTTCAACTATCTAACATGCCGATCAATGCCTTAAGCCACTCGCACTCTCTCCTTTGTCTCTTCCCCCTGATCTGTTCTCCATTCCCTAAATCAATATCCCCTTCATCTTTCATCCTTCCTCCTCTTGTCTGTTACGCAACCCCCCCCCCCGACCTCTGCTTTCGTCCACCTCTATTAGCCCGGGGACCTCTGAGCAAGTCAAGTTTCTCTGTTTTCTGTTGTAAGTACTCTTACTATCTAAGCTCTCTTTACTGCATGCTGGCTTTCCATGTTACTCTCATCTTGGCATGTGCTGAGCTGTTGAAGGAGCATTTAAGAGAAATAATCATTGCTTGCACCTCAACTCACAAGGCCATACATCATCAAGTTAATTTCTCCCGCCTTGTGATCCCTCCAGAAGTTTGGCAGCGCTAGTATAATTATAGTCTATGTATGTAGCTTATTTTTGAGCCATCTATTAATATGCATTAAAATGCTTGCAGCTATATGGTGGTAGAAACAGTTGTTATATTCTTATGAATCTCCACTTTTGTTCTATATGTTCTGAATCTTGAATCACACTGTTTTTGTTTTGTAGGAACTCCTGTAAAGTTCAGAAATATGATGAGAGCCAGTCCTTGGTGCTTGAAGTGTGCGATCAGGTAACGGTAGTTTTTTTTATCTGAAATGTTACACCTTACTGCAGTGACACTGCATTTCCCATTATTCAGCAGCGGTCTAACCTCTCGGCCGAACTTTTTCACACACACACACACACACACACACACACACACACACACACACACACACGTAA